CACAGTGGCGGGTTGCAAAGGAGCTGAAATGGGGAGCCCGCCACCCTGCCTTACTCATAGCAGAGACCATCCCCTCCTTGCTGACATGCGAAACACCATGTAGCAGGGCAGCTAGAGACGGGTAGAGTGAGAGGGGGGCTACAAAGGTACCGGTGGGCGATCGCCAAAGGGAATCAGAATGCAAAGAGCAACCCAAAGCACTCCAGGAGTCTTTCTCTGTTTCTGGGGCAGAGTCCTGGAGCTGAGCGAGATGAGACAGGGATGGTGGCATTACAGAGACAGAGAGGGGACCAAGAAACGCTTCTGGTGAAGGTTTTATAGTGGCGGCATGTTTTGCAGCAGCATCAGCAAGTGCATTACCTTTTGCCACCTCGGTGTCTGCCGCTGAGTGGCCAGTACACTTAACAATTGCCAAGGCAGACGGTAGTAAAACTGCATACAGGAGGGCGGCAATGTAGGGGCCATTCTTGATAGGGGTACCAGTAGAGGTAAGAAAACCTCGAGCCTGCCAGAGGGTGCCAAAGTCATGCACAACCCCAAAGGCATACCGAGAATCAGTAAAAATAGTGGCAGAGAGCCCCTCGGCTAGAAAGCAGGCACAGGTTAGAGCAATCAGTTCAGCCACCTGGGCAGGGGTCACAGAGGGTGAGGGCGCAGCTTCTGTGGTCTCAGAGACCACAGCGTACCCTGCAAGAAGGTGGCCTTGGTCATTTCTATAACAGGACCCATCAGTGAATAATACCAGGTCAGAGTTAGGGAGAGGTACATCTGAAAGGTCGGGGCGCAGGACAGTGATAGCGGAGACAGTTGCAAGGCAGTCATGGGGTTCACCATCACTAGGTAAAGGAAGGAGGGTAGCAGGGTTTAGCTGGGAGCAGCGCTTAATAGTGATATGTGAGGCTGAAAGCAGCAAAAGTTCATACCTAGTGAGGCGAGCAGAGGAGAGGTGAGCAGTGTTGCGTTGCAGAAGGAGAGTTTCCACAGAATGGGGAACCATGAGAGTGAGAGGAGAGCGGAGGACAAGGGATTCAGACATCTCGACCAGGCGCGCTGCAGCAGCTACATAGGCAAGGAGGTAAACCCTGGGCTACAGGGTCCAAGGTTGCAGAAAAATAAGCCACCGGGTGATTTCTGTCACCGTGTTCCTGAGTAAGAACCCCGAGGGCACAAGCAGATTGTTCGTGACAGAAAAGGGTAAAAGGCTTGTCATAGGTAACCCTAAGGCAGGGGCAGAGGCTAAATTCTGCTTAAGGGAGATGAAAGCAGCATTTGCTTCAAGTGGCCATGGCATGGGGTTAGGTACAGAGGATTGAGTGAGTTCTTGGAGTGGTTTAGCCAGAGAAGCATATTGGGGAATCCATTGCCTACAGAACCCTGTCAAGCCTAAGAATTTTCTGACCTGGCGTGGAGAGCAAGGCTGGGGAAAGCTAAGGATGGCTTGTACCCGGGCTGGAGAGAGTGTACGGGAGCCCTGGGAGAGAAGGAAGCCTAGGTATGTGACAGAGGTTTGGCAGAGCTGCAATTTTGTGTGAGAAGCCTTATGACCCTTGTTTGCTAAAGCTGTGAGAAGTGTTCATGAATCAGTTTCTGAGGCAGACAGAGAGGGGGAGCACAGGAGTAAGTCGTCCACATATTGGATCAGTGTGGATCCTGATGGGAAAACCAGATCAGCGAGGTCCCTGGCTAGGGCTTGAGAAAAATAGGATGGACTCTCTGTATACCCCTGGGGAAGGGTAGTCCATGTATATTGCTGACCCTTGTAGGAGAAGGCAAAGAGATACTGGGATTCAGAGTGAACTGGGACAGAGAAGAAAGCGGAGCACAAATCTACAACAGTAAAGTGGGTTGCATTTGGAGGAATAGACGCTAGTATTGTAGCAGGGTTAGGAACCACTGGAAAAGAAGTGGGGGTCGGGTTTGATCCGGATCATTGCACAGGACTAGGCAAAGGGGGGCACTCGGACTAGTGGTGGGAGAGACTGCATCCAATTGAACTGTTAGTTTTTTGATAGAATTTTTAAGAGAGGTGAGTTTTGACTCAGTCCGTCTACGATTTGCCTCTTCCCACCACTGCATGAAGCAGTCTACTTCTCCTCTCTCCAATTTGGTTTTTGGGAGGACGAGTTTGCTTTTTAAAGCGTCCACTCGATCCTTGTCCCAAAAACCTAACAGTGGCCACTGTAATTTGGACCATTTTTCAAGAAACCTACAAGAGTCCGGACCCCTCCTAAAATACATAAAATAAGCTGGAGTTCCCTTAGGGAACTGTTCTACCTTAGACTTCTGATTATCCATCCAGGAGGACTTCACACAGCATTCACACAAGAAGGAAATTTGGGCTCAGCAGAGCGGTACCCAGTGCAACACACAGAAAGGAGCCCACAGGCTACTGCCTCAACTGCCCTTGCTTTCACACTGGGGGTTATACCCAAGGCGTGGTGCGGCTGCAGCTGTGCAGATTCCACTTATTCAGACCGTGGGGACGGGGACCCCTGGGTCAGCCAGTCTCCTGACAGGGATGGCTCCCAGATTCACACACACACACCACTGGGAAGACGGATAGACATAAAGACAAGACAGTCCTCAAACCGGTTAAAGCACAAAAATAATAATTACCTGAGATGTCTGATTCCAGAAGCTGGATCCAAAGACCCCTACCCAAACAGAGTGGGAACCAACAAGTTCAATGGCGTAGACTGCGCTGCTGCTGTGTACCTTTGTCTCGTGGAGGATCGCTTGGACTAAGCGTCCAGGCGCCGGCTGCCATGATCGTCCTGCAAGGCAGTCAGGGATCACACAGCCTCAGTGAAGCCGCTTGCCATCTCGGTGGAACCTCCAAATTTTCAAAGTTTGACTCAGACTCACAATTTATCAGACCACTCTGTTTTATTAGCAAAGCTGCTCTGCTAATACATTTAGAAGTGAGCCCCCCGAGTGGGGCTTGTGTCTTTTAATTTATACAGTTTTTTGGAGAACAAGTTACATTGAAGTTACAGACAAAAGAAAAAGATTTTAGTCACCACCCTTTGAGATCCCTGAGACCAGTCATGTATCTTCAATTACCTGCCACCCTTAACAATCTCCTTTAACAGCTTCCAGTTAACTTAACTAATTGCCCTTCACACCTTCCATTCTGATGCCTGCTTCTTAGACGTGCTGGCTCTATCTAAATTGCTCCTCCATTCAAAAGCTAACTGTCCCTACATGTGCTCCCTCAGATACTTTGTAACATGTTTTGGCATGCCCTCTCATGTACAATGTATCCAGCATGTCCCCTTATACAATGTTATACTTCCACACGTGATATACGCTATGTAATTTCTGTTGAATAGGAAAAAAGGTAAATTTGTACCTTTGTTTTGTGTGTAAAACTTATTTCTCACAGATTGCAAATTCAGACAGATTTTTTTGAAGAGGTCTTCATAATTATTAATATTAAATTTTATGTAAAATGGAGTATTTTAATACACCAAAATGCAATGAAAGATTTATATTTTCTGTGTAGTTACTTTTCCCATCATTTAAGGGAATTGAGGCATGGTACTTGCACTGTACCACTAACAGATATGTCTTAGTTCAGCCACTCTAATTTATAGGACTACTTAAAGCAGTAAAGGATTACTCTCATGCATTACCTGCAATAAAGCTGTGGAGAGCAATGTCCTGTCTTATCAGTAGAGCACCAGACATGCAGTGCTTTTCCTTTGTACTCAGACTGTGCTTGGTGTAGATCCTGTTTCCCAGGGGGAAGAGAGGAAAATGCAGTTGTCATTTTGTCACAGGCTCCACTATGTCAAAGCATGTGAATCATAAATTGAGTCTGCTGTAATTGATCATGTGGGTGTGCAGGGGGAAGATGCAAGAATGATGAGAGATCAGATTTCAGCACATGAAAAAACTCTTTCAAAGACAACATTTACTTTAATACATGTTCAGTTAGCACAGTAACTATAGTCATGAGATTTTTTTTTACTGGAGTTTCACAGCAGCAACAAAATGGTGACACAGAAGATTAATGTACAAAGGATTAATTTACAATATATATAGAAGGTACAAGCCAGTTGTCATTTTTTCTTGCCAGTTCCAGTAATCTTCCTTCTCTTGTCTAAAGGTGTTTTAAAATTTTGACATGCACATAAAAGAAAATCTTGAGAGAGTAGTTCGTGTAAAATAACTTCCTTTTTTGTTATTAAAGGAGAAAACATAAATATATGCTGTGGGTTGTAAAAAAACAAAACAAAAAAAACAGAACCCAAAACCTAATGTATATTTGGGGAGGGAATCACATTTCATATGAGGGATTGCTTTGATTTCTTTAATATTTATTCTCATTCTAAGGAAAAACATACTGATATTTGTGCTGTTATTAGATTAGAAATACTTAGTTTTTGACTCATGGAGTAAAGAATAATAATAATAAAGTACAGAGCCAAACGATGAAGTCATTATTCCTGGAAAACACCTGTTGACTTCAGTAGCTCTTTGATCTGTGTATAAGGGCTTTAGGATTTGGCCTACACTGGCTAGAGCAGAAATTACTTGCATTGGGAAAGCTTAATTTTTTTAAAAATAAGTAACAAAATGCATTTGTTTGTATGTTTACGCTGTTGGCTTCACCAAGTGTCCACCCATTCCTCTTATGCAAACTACAAAAATATGTCAGAATATACACCAGTTTTCTGTGGGAAATAAGGGATCATGTGACAAATAGCAGCATTCAGTTTTATGAGAATCATTGCTCTGTTGCTTTGTTTCCAAGTAAAGTCAATGAAAACCCACATTAATATGGTGTGTTGCTGTCACCAACTGGTCCTTCAAGCCTCAATCCTGCAAGGATCTTTGTGTAGGCATATAGGGGTCAACCTGCATGGGACTCCCTCTAGTCTAGGCCCCTTGGTCTGCATTTTTAATGTAGAAACCAGGTATCTATTTTTCTATAAATGATCAGGCTTCGATTTCTTTGTATGAAGTAAACCTGCCTTTCCTTTTCCTTTCTGCAGTGTAGTTAAAAATGTGCTGTGAAATAAAGAGGAGGTTTTTGCTGCTTTATGCAACACAGAAGGGACAGGCAAAAGCCATAGCTGAGGAAATATGCACGCAGGCAGATGCACATGGATTTGAAGCTGATATTCACTGTATAAGTGAGTCTGACAAGGTGAGATACTCTATGCTGGTTTGGAAAATAGACTTTTAAGAAATGTATTTCCCTCTGTGTGCTCCTATAGTAGCCATTAACAGTAATGGAAGCTATGTGCACGCATAGAGAAGAGAGTATATCACGTACATTTATATTTTCATAACATCCATGTCAGTGGTTTGGATCAGTACTAACTGAGGCTTCCACCAGCCTTGTAGCAAATGTATCCTTTTTATGGTTAATGGTTTGCTTAGAGTAGTAAATGAGTATATGAATATTCTTCTCTGTGTGTGTCTACACTAGCATTAAAGTGGCCTGTTGAAATGATTCTTGGACATGCAGAAATGAGTTGCTGGAATTAATTCAGTACTTAGTGGATGGGAGGCAATATCATTTAAAAAAAAAAAGCACAACATTTTTTTTAGTTTTATTTATTGTTTGTATTATGACAATGCCCAAAGAACAGGCTGGGTTCTATATATACATAGATCCCAATACGGCAGTCAGATCCATGCAGGTTTATCTCTGTGATATGTAGAATCCCCACTGAAGTTATCCAGTCTAGCTTTGTTGACATAAGTGAATTTACAGTTGCTAAGGATGACACATGATATCCGCGTGATCCAGGAAGTAAAGACCTGATAGAGTGGGGTTGTGATTTTGATTCAGAATGATTAAAATTCTTTGGGGGGTTTGTTTTGTTACACCTATCTAGTAAAGGGAGTTCTAAACCAATGTGTTTTTAAGAACTCAGGAATCCTAAACCCTCTGTTAAAGGTTGTGAAAGGACCAAATCCACACTTCTGGGTCCTCCAACAAGAACAGAAAAGATAAAACTTGACATTCCTGATATTCCTGTGGAAATAAGTAAGCAGAAAACAAAACCTATTCTGGAGATCAGGGATGGGTGATATTTTCATGTAATCAAAGGAGCAACAGAGAACAAAAAGGTAAACTATTTACTGTTCTCAGGCCATCTTTATGGGAAGTACTACTTGTTTGTCAGCAGAGCTTACACTTCTGAAAGAGCACTTATTGTGTAATATTTGTGTATTTTATACACATTAACAATTCTTATGGAGAGTACATAAAGCAAGCCCAAAAGGTGAGGGAGCCTCCAATCTACTTCAGAGCAGTTGTCTCTTCCTTCCACACACTCTACAGACTGCTGTGGAGGCATCTCCAGGCCTGTTTGGCTGGAGGTGGCCTGCTACTGGAACAAGTCTATTTTGTCAGACATGGAAAGTTGGCACTGAGCTGTGATTTACTGCTGAGATGAAATGTTGCGCAGATGTGAGAATTTTTTGATTAAATTTTATTATTTATTTTGGTAAGAGAAGAAGACAATTTGTATAGCTTTGCAGATCTCTTCAATTACAGGTTCCCTCACTCCTTGTCCAGGGAGCAGCTGTACCTGAATGGAGAGGCCTTCTATTTGGCTGGGACAAATCAGGGAAAAATATACCAGGGCTACGCCTAGGTTTTGTGGGGCCTTGAGTGAAGTCCGACATGGGAGGCCTGAGGGGGAAAAATTCTACAATCTGCACATCTTGTGTGGTTGTGCTTGTGTCAGGTCAGGGACTAACGGCTGGCTGAGTTAGACTAATTTTGCCAATAGGGAAAGGGGAATAACAATTTTCCAATATCTCCTATAAGCACTTCCATGCAGCTGTGCATGCACATGCTCACACATTAAGACAAGGATGGAGCAGGCCCCATGCCACCTCTTCTCTTTTTTACCTCCTGACTTTGCACTTAGAGGGTAGCACAGAAGCCAGCATCTGAGAGTGCAGGGAGAGAAGGTCTTGACCTAGCACTGGTCACTCAGGAGTGACCTCAGCTGGAGGGTGGCCCATGACCTATCAACAACAGCTAAGCTGCCAAGGCATCTCTGATGCTTTTATGGTATGTCTGCACTGGAAAAAAAAACAACAAAAAAACAACGCTCAGTGCCAAGGTCTACATGTTCAGGCTTGTGGGGATCACACTACGGCAATAAAATAGCTGCATAGACATTCCAACTCAGGCTGGAGCTCGGGTTATGAAGTCTTTGCTAGGAGGGTGGGGTTCGGAGCCTGAGCTCTAGCCTGAGCCAATACATCTGCATGGCTATTTGTAGTGCTGTAGCGTGAGCCTGAGTCCATAGACCCAGGTTCTGAGACTTGCTGCTGCAGTGCTTTTTTGCGGTATAGACATACTCTTAGTTACTCGAATGGGCCTGCTACAGGGATAGTTCCGAAAGCAATAAAGGGGAGCGATTTATGCCATAATTGCTGAAGTCTCATGCACATACATGTATGGAAGGGTCTTGACTCTTCTGTATGGTATGCTAGCCCTCTTACTCAGAGCATGTCCCAAGGGTTTGTGGTTCTATAGAGCTGTATGTGACTGAATGCCAGCATTGCCAGCCTTGCCTGTGGATTGGTGGAAGACTCTTTTTAAGCATCATTATTTTGATTCTATATATACAAAGAAAAAGATGATGCATTGTCCTAATTGTGGGTTTATTCCTGCACAGCTATATTATAAACATTAGAGCTGGCTTTGTCTGAGGGGTTGAGTTCGGGTGTAAAACAGCATCTGTACCGAAATACATTTCACATTTTAGTTTTACAATTTATATTGGAAACAGCTAAAACAAGTTATTTGAAAAGTTGCAAAATAAAATGTCCTGACAGATCTTGTTTTCTTGCCTTCATTCGTAACTCAGAAATTTTTAGAATTATATAATGGTACTGGGTCTGTGCAAGTGATGTTTTTTTGTGCCTTGAGAAAGAGGTGGAAGACCTAGCAATTTACATTATTATGGGTATGAAAAAAGTCCCACAAAATCTTAAGTTCTAAATTAAGACCTAATACTGCCTTTATGATAAGACCTCCTATTGTCTGTACTATAGATGCTTAAATTAGGAACTAGTAGCCTAAGCTAGATACTGTACATCTGTGTCGTACCTGTTATTTATAACTTGTCATAACCTTAATATTTAAATGTAAGCATTTTGTTTAAATAAAAGCACTTGGAACGTGTTTAAATTAAAAACGTCTTTTTCACGTGAACTGCTGTCTGTTCATGTGATTCCAAACTTACCCTGCAGGGATACTTTAGAGGGTGTAGATGTCTGATTAATCAAACTGACAGTTGATATGCTTTTGCCACTAAGCTCACAGTGCAGCTGCAACCACGTTTTTCTTGCTATGGACAACTTGACTCATCAAACAAGTGGAATTGTTTTCACATGAGAATTTCAAATGCATGTAAATAAATGAAAGAGTTGGTTAAATAGTTCTTGTGAAAGCAACATATAACACTTAACAATCACTTAAAAAGGAGATATGCAAAAGATGTGTTTTCCAAATGATAGGTGGCAGATACTGTAAAGGGCCACATTCTCAGAACATCACATGTAAGTCTGGATATGCAAGTAATTATGTGCTCAGAATTTTGCCCTTAATTGATTGGCCATACAAATGATAAGGTGTGAGATTAAAGCCTTGTTGAAAATTTAACCCTAAATGTGCAGATGCCATTATTTCACAGGATTAGTACGGATACCCCTGTATTGCTTTCACACTTTACAAAAAGATTATGAAAGAGGATGAGAGGGGTAATGTTACTGAGTGCAGTTTTTTTTTTTTTTAAACCATACTGCAAGACAGTGCTGTTTACGTCTTGTACAAAAAAGAAATGAACACTGGTCTGTTGTGTAACACCACTGGCATTCTTTAGGTTAATTATACATACATCATAGAGTTAAGAGATGACCAAGCAGTTCAGACTTCTGACATGAGTTCATGCGATCTGATAGTCTTTTTTTCTTTTCTTCTTCTATACAGACTGTTTCACATATTAGAATAGGTTAATAAACAAGAGGTTACAAGCAAAAAAAAGTAATACAAAGTGAGAGAATGTTGCATCCACCAAATAAACTCTTCATTATTTAGAAGGCTTACTATGGTCTCATGCAAATAAGGAAGAAAAGAGAAGAGAGAGCATAAAAATGTGGGATGGGGGGAAAGTAAGAGACCATTCAATTGTAAAAGACAACACTGCCAGGATCAACTCTTTGACTTGACTATAAATGTGTATTGGGTTATACTTTTTAATTTGCTTTTTTTCCACTCTTTTTGTAGTATAATCTGGCAACAGAAAAGGACCCTCTTGTTATTGTTATTTCCACTACTGGTACTGGAGACCCTCCAGACACAGCTTGCAAGTTTGTTAAGGAAATTAAAAACAAGACCCTGCTACCTGATCATTTTGCACATCTACGTTATGGATTGTTAGGTAATACAGTATTTCCTGTGTCACCTTTTCTATCAGAAATTAATTTATCACTATATTGTCCCCACTGTAGTGTGGTATCTTTTAAGTCATTTTAAAATGGTAAATAAGCCTATTCATACCTTTGAAGGTATAAGGGATACCATTTGATTGAGGTCAGAAGCCAGAGGGTGGCTGACTAGCACTGCTGGCTGTGCCTGGTAAAAGATCTGCAGCTTAATTGGCTGATTCTCATAAAAGGAAGAGCAGGAAATGGAGAGGAGGAGCTGCAATACCTGACAGAGACTGGAGCTACTGCTGGGAAGAACTGTTCCCTGAAACAGAAATGGACAGAAGGGAGACTGAGAAGTTTTGATCTTGTTTGTCAAGTAGACTTGAACTAAAAGAAAAGGAACCATAACAACTGATCCTGCTGGAAACTAACTTTCCTAGACTTGGTGAGATGATTCCAGGCAGAATTCCCCCAGGGAGAGTGGTGGCTCAACAAGAGCAAGCCAGGGTCCATCCAAAAGAGAGTGCTATGAGACAGGACCAAATCTCTTATAATACAGCTTTTATTCCTATATTGTTAGCTGATTTTATGTGTAATAATTGTGGAGCAGTATATGAGGGATTTTTCATGAATGTGATTCAGAATTAAAATGTGATTCATCAATTTAATATCCATTGGGCATCCTGGGGGTGAGAAGTTTCAGAGTAGCAGCTGTGTTAGTCTGTATCCGCAAAAAGAATAGGAGTACTTGTGGCACCTTAGAGACTAACAAATTTATTTGCGCATAAGCTTTCAAATAAATTTGTTAGTCTCCAGGTACCACAAGTACTCCTTTTCTTTTTGGGGGTGAGAAGTAATTTGAGACTACAAATTGAGATACGAGGTGTGGGTTTGGAAAATATTTGTATTACCAAATTTATAATAAATTGACTATGTAAGTTTGGAGATGTGAAAGTGTAAAAATGTCAGTGTTTTTTTTTTTTCTGAAAATTCTTAATGCTTGTGCCATGACATACATTTCAACAATAGTGAGAAACATCAAATGGCGTTTGTTAATTAAGCTACAGTTAAAATTAACACTTGTCAGAAAGTTAATGGGGAAAAATCAAATAATATTGAGGTATAAAACCAAAACCCAGACAGTTGTGGAAATGCAAAAGTTCATCTGAAAAACTTTAATTCCACTACCAGAGTGCTGCTGACTGTTCAACCTGCATTTAGACTATCAGGCTAAAAAACTTGGTCATGTGTATTCTGAAGTTTATTTTTAGTTATGAGTTTTCTGAGGTGTATAAGAAGTATGCAGCCATGGTACTATTAATTCTGGAGAAGATACTGTATTTATTACTTATTGCAGATGGATGATTGAGAATGTGAAACAGAGCATTGATTTTTTTGTAACTGATTTCATGTTTGCTAGCTCTGTGTGTAATGCCATCTTTAAACTAACAGTATACCTACTGGGAGGGGACATAAGTTTTCAAGTACATAAAAGGTTGTTACAAGGAGGAGGGAGGAAAATTGTTCTCTTTAACCTCTGAGGATAGGATAAGAAGCACTGGGGCTTAAGTTGCAGCAAGGGTGGTTTGAGTTGGACATTAGGAAAAGCTTCCTAACTGTCAGGGCAGTTAAGCACTGGAATGAATTGCCTAGGGAGATTGTGGAATTTCAATCACTGGAGATTCTTAAGAGCAGGTTAGACAAACACTTGTCAGGGATGGTCAAGATAATACTTAGTCCTGCTGTGAGTGTAAGGGACTAGACTAGATAACCTCTCAAGGTGCCTTCCAGTCGTACAATTCTATGATTCTTTGTGAATAGTGAGGAAAGATACCCTTTGTTATGCTATGTGCATCTTTTACTATGGCCTCTCCAGCCATTGAGAAGGCAGTGAGACCCCTAATCAGAGTGTAGTTAAGAGCAGATATTCTCTCTGACCCTGTGCTGGATCAGGATCTTTACTAAGGCGATTGAGGTTTAAGGACCTAAGAGTTATGCTTGGATATTTTTTACTCAGTATCTCTGGTGGTTTCTGAGCAAGACAGTGGGGGAAATTACCTGATTCATATATTTCCATATACCTCTCTGGTTTTAAAATTTACCTTTACTTAAATTTTCCTGCATTTCCAATGTTTCTCTTTTTCTTTTTCTCTCTAGTATGTTTAATATGTTTTCCTCCCTTAAATTAGTGACATATATTAATAATCTTAGCTCTAGCTGAAATAAGTTTATTTCTTGGGTATTCATGTGAATTTACAACCTACAATTTGTTTTTAGTTTAGGTGTTTTGTTAGACAACAGTTTTTGATAATAAACACCTAAAACATGGCAGGAAGATGTTGCTTGAGGTATTTTTAGTGCCCACAGCTGTTGCAACAGAAACAACATTTTGAACTTGGCAGTGGGCAGGTAAATGAAGAGGAACCATTTGTCAACTATACCTTAATAATGTAATCAGCTATTCAATTTTCAGTTCACACATGTTTTGTTAATTTAGGACTTAAATACATCTACTTTTCATATACATACCAACTTTCCTGTTTGTGAGACAATATCTTGATTTTTCACTGTAAACTTTATATTTATTTATTTGGTAGATATAAACCCTCTTTACGTGGATTTTTCAGGTCTGGGAGATTCTGAATACATGTTCTTCTGCAATGGTGGGAAGGTAGTAGACAAACGACTCCAGGAACTCGGTGCACAGCATTTCTATGAGACTGGACTGGCGGATGATTGTGTAGGGTATGAGCAGAATTAGTTTAATTGCTTTTTATTTTCTTCCAGTAAACACAGGATTTAAAGATGAATCCTGCCAGTTGCTGAATACTCAGTGAAGCCAGTAGTATTTGACGATGCTAAGCACCTGACTGGATTGAACCCAGTATGAGCTAGAATAATCTTACTTATCTTCAGTGGATTTGAATGGGCCTGTTTACTGAGAAGTGCTAAGTATCCATAACTCCAGTAGAAGCTGTGAGGGCTCAGAACTTCTAAAAACTGCATCTGAAGACCTTTTCATAAACGGTGACATGCTTGGCCGTTTTTTACCTATATTATGGGTACAAGGTTTTATTTCTAGTTTTTAGGTTTAACCAAGGAAAATTCAGTCTTATAAATAAAAAACAACCACAGTTCTACAATATCTCTGTAGTTGAAACAGTGGGTAATGTGACCTCTAGCTAGTATATGGAGACTGGATTCAAACAAAACTGTGACCACAGCTTCATACAAAGGAGATTTACCCATCTGAGCATACCAGTTTTTGTCTCGCAACAGGTGGAGTCTTCTGTGCAGTTTGTTTTTGTCTCTCTTCCTCCGCCTCCGCCCCCCGCCCCCATAGTAGCAGGATTAGTTTGAGTACTCCCTGAATTATTTTTGTTTCTCCTCTGTAAAATGGCCCACTAATCTCAGTGTCTCCTTTTCTTTGGAGATACAGATTTTTACTGTGAGAAAATAGTTTTGTTCTTGTTTTTCTGGTTTCACTTTCCATCAGTTGGAGACCAGAGCCTTGGCTTAAAGCTATTTTGAAATGCTGTTTATATTGGTTAGGCATATGAAGGTGCTGGACAGAATAAAACATACAAACATTGCCACAACCATAAGACTTATTTTTGTGTTTTTAAAAAATGGAACTTTATTAGTTATGTCTGTAGCTTACAATAAACAGCTGAAAGTCATGTGTTTTCCAGTTACTCCTTTTTTAACTCCTTATAATGAGCTTCATCATAAGAGGATAAAGGTTGTATAGTTGGCAGAAAGAGTGCTTTTTTCCCCCTAAATCTGAAAAAAAATGTCATGTCAAATGCAAACGTGAATTTTAGTAAAGGAAGTCCTTTTAATGGCAGCTGTTCGTGTACAGGTAATAGAAAATGAGAAGTGTCATCAAGCCTTTTTTGTTCTTTTGGTTATCCGTAAGAATTAAAAGTGAAGTAAGTCATTCTTTACCTCCACTTTGCCTTGTTTGTTTCAGTTTGGAAATAGTGGTTGAGCCATGGATTGATGGGCTTTGGCTTGCCCTCAGAAGAGAGTTTACGTCATGGAACATAAAAGAAGACATGAGCAGCAATCTCAGGGCTGTGTCTAATGGTGTCTCTGCAATGACTGTAGTCCCAAGCATGTCAGGAATATGCAGCTTAGACTCAGAAATACAGCATTTGAAGCTAGAAGATTTAGAAGTGAAGGCTACTGATGCTTTATCCCAAAAACCAGCTAATGTTCATTCTGTAGTGTCTGTTCAAGATACTGAAGCTTCACTTGATCGATCAGTCCCTCCTCTTTCACAGTCTGCTCTTAATATTCCTGCTCTGCCATCAGAATATATAGATGTACAGTTTCAGGACAGCACTGGCCAGGTAAGGACTTCAGAGTTTTGGATGATAAAAGATAGAGAAAATTCTGATCAATGGATGTTTGCACACATGTTCCTATAGTTAAATAGAGTGTAGCTGTGTGAAGCGTGGTGTTTATCCTGCTCCTAAAATAGAAGGGGTTAAAAGCAGCCCTAGAGAGGGCTGTGGCTAGGGATGGCGGATTGGGGAAGCAGCTGCAGCTGGGCCAGGCCCCAGCTGGCCTGTATAAAAAGGCTGTGAGCCAGAGGCCCAGAGTCTCTCCAGGCTGGGAGAGAGCAGGGCCTGGATGCCTGCCTGACAGGGTACGAAGGGTGGTGCAATGCTGGGGAAGGAGCAAGATGAGCGTGGGCACTCTAGGCTGGCAACTCCTCAGGCTGTAGGGCCTGGTCCAAGGCCCATAGAGGTACTGGGAGGCAGAGCAAGGCAGGGCAGGTATTGGGGTTGCAAAGGAGGTAGGCCGAGGCAGCAGGTCCAAACCTCTCCTTGCCAGTGATGAGTGGCTTTTACACTGTAGTCTCCCCCGATACAAGGGGCTAGTTGGTGACTGGCGGTAGCCTTACACTAAGGCAAGGTAGGGATAGGGAGTGGGAGTTCCCCTGGGTGGGGACAGGGACCCTGAGAGACAATAGGTGTACTGCCAGGGGGCAGCCATCCAAGAGACATGGGGCACTGGGTCTGGGAGGGATGTGGGGCCAACGGTAAGGCGGATCACCGGCCTGCAGAGGGCGCTCCAGAGGCTGGTGAGCTAATTCCCGACAACCAGCAGGAGGCGCTGCAGGGGTGAGTCCACTCTTACACTGTGTCTGAGAAATTAGAGAGAGACAAGGTGGGTAATGTAATATTTTTTTAGTGGACCAACTTCTGTTGGTGAGAGAGACAAGTTTTCGAGCTGAAGAAGAGTTCTGTGTGGCTCAAAAGCTCGTTTCTCTTGCCAGGAGAAATTGGTCCAATAAAAGACATTACCTCCCCCACCTTGTGTCTCTGTAGTTAAGTGGGACCTTTGAACAAATTTCTAAGGCATATATGTTTCTGAAGGAAGCAGATTTTCATATTACTTTATAAGTAACAAATGTCTGCTTATATCTTGGGTAGAAAATGAATGTTTGTCAGTTTAGCGGACAATGACCTGATAAGTATAACCAGTTACATAACAGACAAGATGATAAGCCCTCTCTAAGAAAATTACACCAAAATGCCAGGAAGTGAACAACTTTAATTGCTGGAATCATCAAAAGTTTATTTTGTAGTAATGAAAAACTCCTTCCATTAATATCAGTCTAGTCCAATTTTCATTCAAAACGCAGTACTTTACAAAAGTCAGAAACGATCATGCAAAACCAGCTCAAAATACAGTCAATAGCTGTGACAAACTTGCCACCATAATAACTTCATACTAGTTTTACTGTTGTAAATTGAACAATAAATTGCAGGTTAAAAGCTAGCAAATGGTTGATATTGCTGCTTTAAGCTCAATATGCTTTTACAAAGAAGCCATTTTAAACCATGGTATGATATGCTATGCAAAACAAAACAAAGAAAGGCTCCACAGCCTCAGCTTGTGATCTTTTGCACTCTGTAGTTACAAAGCCCAGAATGGTCTAGAAAATGCAGCTCAAAAACGGTACTTTGTTTTCCAGACCATGAGCATTTGGTTACATTTCTAAGTTTCTTTCAGATGACATTTGGAATTCTGACATGCTCTTTGTTCCCCTATTGTTACCCTGCTGCATACGTATTTTTGAAGATCTCACATTGCAGCAACCATCCCCTTCCTTCTAAGCAAAACTAAAGGCAACTCCTACTGAAGCCCATCAACTCAGATTTTAGCGTCCCCATAAAAGGATTCCCTCTCATCCACTCTCAAGTGCGGGGCTGGGTGCGTGGCCTCCTTAGTGATTTATTTGGACTCTGAGTCTGAGTGACTGGAACTAAACCATTCTGAGAGCAATTTAAAATGTTCTTTAAGGGGTAACAGTTCAAAATGAATATTATTCGTTCTTCTGCTTTAATTATAAGGAGTCTTTAGGATTAGAGCTGGGTGAATTTTTTCAGACTAATAGTTTGTTTGGAAAAAGAAAACCGGTTCAGTACACCTGAAATTATTTGTGAAGTTGATGTCAATTCATTAGATAGTTTTGGCAAAAAAAAATTGGGGGAGGGACTGACATGTCATTCACAAAGGAGGAGGAGGTGGTGATGGTGCCTATTCATAATGACAATGTATAGTCATTGTGCCAAGAAAAGTGTGAACATGACTATATAACCTGGTGGACAGGACACTTACCTGGGATCTGGGGGACCCAAGTTTCTGCTCCAGTGATTTTTTAAATTATTTATGCAAAGTGGTTCAATTTGAACAGGAAGGATTGAGAGACCCCCAACACCAGAATATGCTATAGTCCAGTAGTTAAGGCACTTTCCTGTAGTGAGTGAGACCCAAGTTCAAATCATTTCATGTGAGGCATAGGAGAAAATGGCTCCTCGGTCTCCCACATCTCAGGTGAATGCCCTAATGACTGGGCTAAAAGTTATAAGGAGGATGGCACCACCACATCCCCTTCTCTTCCTCCGGCTGTTTTTGTGAACCTAGCCCTTAACAAATGTGTGGAAAATCCATTTGGGGTTGAACCAAAATGGATTTTTTTCAGTTCACTGAAATTTTTTGCAATGTTTGTTTCAGTTTGACTTGAAATAATTTTTTTGGAACTGCCAGCAAACTGAAAAATTAGTTATTTGCCCAACTCTGTTTAAGGATACTGATGTCAATAGTTGCCCTTGTTTTAATTGATAAAACAATTCGAATCCATCTGAGAAAACAGTATAATGTATATCCCATTTTCAGTTTTCTTAACTCTTCTCTAATGGTAGTGGATGATGCTCACTGATACAGTTGGGAGTGAAATGAGGGCTAGAGCCTTGCCTTTAATTGAGGACACCCTCTGGCAGAGATGGGCTGGAATTGTTAGCGTTTCCCCTTCATTGAGTTAGAAAGGGTTGCTACAGCGTAGCATGCTCCTCCTTCTGGGCACTGAGCATGTTGCCTCTCCTGGTGTGCACAGAACCTGAATTTTGGCTCTTTTGTTGTACTGTCTATAGAGTGCTGAGGCTTAAAAATACAACCGTATTTAAAGCTCTCTCCCATAAGCTGCTTACTGGTCTAACCCTAGCTGTATCTTATATTTCTAATTTTTAAATGGTTTATAGTCTTACTTTCAACATTCATTAGTTATGGTGTTAGCCACTCTGTCATCTTTTCCTCATACAGTATCTGATTTAATTGCCACTTTTAAATTGGATCTTTTAAAGTAACTCTTCAAAGAGAAAACTACTGAACCTGTATTTGGTATCCACTTTAGCAGTGACTTATCAAACTGTGTGTTTTTTTCCCCACAACTTGTGCTTATTACACTTTAGAATTGAATAGTGTCCCTGTTAGTACTCGGGCATGAATTTTTTAAAAAGGTATGGGGGAGATACTGTATGTGTATATAGAGTGCATGTTTACAGTATGGTTTGGAATTCTCTTTTTATGATCTTAATATGAAAAAGAAAATGGTCCCACTAATTACTTGTGAGTTTATTTGTGCATGTTATATAGTAGGTTGCCATACAGTTGGTCATATTTAATCAGATTAAACTTTTATGTCCTTGTTTTCAGGAACTCAGTGTGTCCTCATTGATTTCAGATGGTATAGTCTTCCATGTTCCAGTGACCAAAGCAGTTCAGCTCACTAGGGAAGATGCAGTAAAAACAGCTTTGCTGTTAGAACTTGATATTTCAGTAAGTTGATAAACCTCCTCAGCTGGTGGAAGAAAGGGTAAAAAAAAATATTAATTGGAGAACAAAGCTGTTAAGAGTGATGTTATATGCTAATGTTCTGGGTTATATTATTAAAATATCTTTCTATAGTGTGTTGAAGTGTGGGTCAACTGAGGTTGACCTTGTTTGTAATGCAAAGGATCTCACTTATTCAGTAGAGGGTATGGCCCCACATAAGCTAACATTTTATAGTTGTTACATATTTTATATGCAAGTATAGTTTACTAGTCTTAATAATAATTCATTTCTAGTAATTTAACAAGAATCTTTATTTAGATACATAATTAACATATATGCAGAGCATCTTAACTCGGGTCAATCTATCCAGCATCACATCAACTCACTCCTCCCACTGTCAACTCCCACACCCTAGAGATTCCATTCATTTCTTAAAGCCACAGTAACACCACATCTACTTTCTTTCAATATTTTTAGCACAACTTTATTTGTGTGTATCTGTCTATTTACAAAATCAGAATTAACTGTTTACTATAAGTGTTTTAACAAGTCTCCTTTGATACAGTGACCGTCTAACTTCCATATTTTCTATATTGAAGTTGCTTTTATGACTTTAGAGGGATGATGTCATTTTCATTTTCTTGCCGCTCTTGATGCGGTATGATATCATTTCTTTTTTCAGCTGAGTTTGAAAATTGCAACAACAATTGCAAATGTCTCCAATTTTGTCTATACACTTGACCATCATTAATCATGACACAAGATTGAGGTGGTACGTCTTTTGTTGAAGTGGCTTTCTGAACCCAATTTCTACCATTTAGATATGTACTTTATCATTTGGCTTCAAATAAGGTAGTTCATGCGATCCTTTATTGTAATAATTATTTTGATACAAACTTGACTGATATTTATATTTACTTCTTTCCTTATTTCATTCAAATTTGTTTTTCACTTCTGAATAACTTTTAGCTATTTTTTTTTAAACTTCTTTCAATTCTTTTTAAAACTTCCTTTGCTCTTGGTACCATGTGTTGTTTTATAGTCAAGTAATCAACTAGTCTTTAATATATGTAGCATTGTTGTAGCCATGTCGGTTCAATGGTATTAGAGAAATGAGATGTTGGATGAGGTAATATCTTTTATTGGACCAACTTCTGTTGGTGAGAGAGACAAGCTTTTGAGCCACTCAGAGCTCTTCAGTTCTCGGAAAAGAACTCCAGGCGTCACAGGTAAATGCAAGAGAGAACAGATTGTTTAGCATAAGCACGTAGCACATATTCTAAGGGATCATTCAACGTAGAGTGTCCCTGTCAAGGTTCCTTCCCCACTCTGAACTCTAGGGTACAGATGTGGGGACCCGCATGAAAGACCCCCTAAGCTTATTTCTACCAGCTTAGGTTAAAACGTCCCCAAGGCACAAAGTCTTTGCCCTTGGATTAGGTAAAATGCTGCCACCACCAAGTGATTTAACAAATAGTCAGAGAAAGGACCACTTGGAGTTCCTATTTTCCCCAAAATATCCCCCCAAGCCCTTACACCTCCTTTCCTGGGGAGGCTTGAGAATAAACAAGATGAGCACAAACAAGCCTTGGATTTTTAAGACGCAAAAAACCCAGTCAGATTCATAAAAGACAGAACTTTATTAAAAGAACAAAAAAAAAAAAGAGAACAACTCCGTAAGATCAGAACGAAAGATAATCTTACAGGCAGTCAGATTCAAAACATAGAGAAACCCTCTAGGCAAAACCTTAAGTTACAAAAAGACACAAAAACAGGAATACACATTTCCTGTAGCACAGGGAATTTACATTACAAGCCAAAACAAAGAAACCCTAATGCATTTTCTAGCTAGCTTACTTACTAGCTTTACAGGAGTTGGAGGGCTTGCATCCTTGATCTCTTCCCGGCAAAGGTATCACACAGACAGACAAAAGCCTTCCTTTCTCTCCCCCCCCCCCCCCGATTTGAAAGTATCTTGTCCCCTCATTGGTCATTTTGAGTCAGGTGCCAGCGAGGTTACCTTAACCCTTTACAGGTGAAAGGATTTTGCCTCTGGCCAGGAGGTATTTTATAGCACTGTATACAGAAAGGTGTTTACCCTTCCCTTTATATTTATGACAGTCCCGATAACACCTCTGTAGTCAGAGAACAGAAAGAGGGGGTTAGTGGTTACTGATTGTTGTAATAAGCCATAAATGCAGTGTCTACGTTTAGTCCATCATTTTTAGTGCCTAGCAGAATTACGAATTTAAGCTCCCAGGCTTGTCTTCTGAAAGTGTTGTGGACTTTGAGGATGAGGACTGATAGGTCAGACATAGAGGATTGCTTTGTGAAACATCACAAACGTATCTACCATAATCTCTCTACCAGCAAAAGGACAGCCATACAGACCCTGAGATGTAACTACCAGATAGTGATGAAACCAGCAGATGAAGGGGGTGCCATCATAGTCCTCAACCGTGATGACTACATTAACGAGGCCAAAAGGCAACTCTCTGACACCATCTACTAGAAAGAATTCAAAGAAGACCTTACACCACAGTTTACCGAGGAACTTAAGGATATCATCAAATCCTTCCCCAAACAACTCCAAGAGAAACTCTACAAACTCATCTCCTACAAACCCAGCCCATGGACATTCTGCATGGACAGAAGGACTAAACTCCCTCATAGGCTTCCATCACAAATTGGACCAACTTCTGTTGGTAAGAAGAAAAGATATTACCTCACCCACTTTGTCTCTCTAGTCTTTAATAATAATAATTCATTGCTCGTAAATTAACTGTCTTTATTAAATACATAGTTAACATATATACAGAGCATCTGAACTCAGGTCCGTCTCTCAGTTTAACCTCAAACCATTGGCCTCCTCCAGCTGTCAGCTCCCACATCCTGGAGATTCTGTTCATTCTCTTAAAGCCACATTAACATCACAGTGACTTCCATTAATTTTGGATTGAATGAGACTGGTTTTGTGAAAGATTCTGTCAATAAAAGAAAGGGGTTAAAGTAACCAGAAATGAGGAAAATGAGGGGAAAAGTTGATGCCAGTAAAAATAACAAAAAGACTCCATGAATACACGACTTTGAAGATGTTTTGAAACACTGGGTAATAAGGTAAAACTGGTATTCCGTGATACTTAATACATGCAAGCATTGATCTTACTAGCATTGTGTAGCAGGAATGAGGCCCGGTCAAGTGATATGGGTACAAGACAGGAGGCTAGGAATTCCTGAGTCTAATTCTGGTTCTGACACTGACTTTCTTTGTGTCTCCATAGCACTTAGTCTCTACCTCTATTTTCCTAGTTGTAAAAATAGAATGACTTTGCTTTACTCAGGGAAAACTAGAGCAAAAGCACCATGCACGAGCTAGGTGATACTGTATGGATATTGTTTAAATAAGATAGCATTTTTATCAATGTACTCCATACAGCCAACCTATAGAATTCTACTGCAGTGATATCACAGTCTGTTCAATTCTGTAGGTCCTTAAAGTACCTTCTGTGGGCTCTTTAATCCTATTGGTTTAATTATTTTTCATTTCAATAGGACTTTTTCAGAAGTGCTTCCTTGGTTACAATTAGGGTTTGTTTTTTAAATTATTCTGCCCCAAGTTTTCAAACAGGTCAGTACCTAAGGGAGTATGCACTCTTTTGTGTGTGCTTATGCGTGTAACCCCAATTCACATGCACATCCAGAAGATTTGCACTCCTGAGTCAGGCTCAAAAGTGCATGCACTTATTTGAAAATTTGGGCCTCTATTGTTAGGATCACCGAGTTCTTTTTGCCTGGTGCACCTTATGAATAAATGTTTTTATTGTTGTTGTTGCCTACACACTGCCTACATACTTTGTACAATGCATGCTGGAGTTTCATAAGAACAACATAAGAAAGTTCATAGTGGGTCAGACTAATGGTCACTCTAGCTCAGTATACTGTCTTTTGACACTGGCCAATGCCATGTGCTTCAGAGAGAATGAACAGAACAGGCAATCATTGAGTGATCCATCCGCTGTCATCCACTCCCAGCTTCTAACAATCAGAGGCTAGGGACACCCACCTCATGGGGTTGCATCGATGACCATCTTCACTAATAGGCCTCAATGGACCCATCCTCCATGAACTTTATCTAATTCTTTTTTGAACAATGTCATACTTTTGTCCTTCACAACATCTCCTGGCAATGAGTTCCACAGGTTGACTGTGTGTTATGTAAAGTACTTCCTTCTATTTGTTTTAATCATGCTGTTTGTTGATTTCATTGGGTGATCCCTGGTCTTTGTGTTATGTCAAGGAGTAAATAACACTTTCTTCTTCACTTTCTCCACACCAGTCACAATTGTATAGACCTCTATCATATCCCCTCTTAGTCATCTCTTTTCCAAAATTCCAGTCTTTCTAATCTCTTCTCATACGGAAAGCTGTTCCATACCCATAGCTCATTTTTCTTGTCCTTTCTCTGTATCTTTTCCAATTCTAATATATCTTTTTTGAGATCAGGTGACCAAAAGTGCATGCAGTATTCAAGATGTGGGCGTACCATGGATTTATATAGTGGTGGTATGATATTTTCTGTCTGATTATTTATCCCTTTCCCAATTGTTCATAACATTGTTAGCTTTTTTGATTGGCACGGCACATTGAGTGGATATTTTCAGAGAAGTATCCACAATGACTCCAAGATCTTCCTTGAGTGGTAACAGCTAATTTAGATCCTATCATTTTGTGTGTATAGTTGAGATTGTTTTCCCAAGTGCACTACTTTGCATTAGGGCTGTCAAGAGATTAACAAAAGTAATCACAATTAATTGTGAGATTAAAAAAATGAATCGTGATTAATCGCACGGTTAAACAAGAATAGAATACCATTTATTTTAATAGCTTTGGATATTTTCTACATTTTCAAATATGTGGATTTCAGTTACAACACAGAATACAAAGTATACTGTGCTCACTTTATATTTTTATTACAAATATTTGCACTGTTAAAAACAAAAGAAATAGTATTTTTCAGTTCACCTAATACAAGTATTGTAGTGCAATCTCTTTATCATGAAAGTTGAATTTACAAATGTAGAATATACAAAAAAAAAACCTGCACTTAAAAATAAAACTATGTAAAACTTTAGTGCCTACAAGTCCACTCAGTCCTACTTCTTGTTCAGCTAATCGCTCAAACAAGTTTATTTACGTTTGCAGGAGATAATGCTGCCTGCTTCTTGTTTACAATGTCTCCTGAAAGTGAGAACAGGCATTCACATGGCATTGTTGTAGCCGGGGTTGCAGGTTATTTGTGTGCCAGATGCACAAAAGATTCATATGTCTCTTCATGCTTCAACCACCATTCCAGAGGGCATGGGTCCATGCTGATGATGGGTTCTGCTTGATAACAATCCAAAGCAGTGCAGACCGAGGCACATTTATTTTCATTATCTGAGACAGATGCCACCAGCAGAAGGTTGATTTTCTTTTTTGATGGTTCGGGTTCTGTAGTTTCCACATTGGAGTGGTTCTCTTTTAACTCTTCTGAAAGCATGTTCAGATTTTGGAAGGCACTGCAGATTCTTAAACCGTGGGTCCAATGCTGTAGCTATCTTTAGAAATCTCACATTGGTACCTTCTATGTGTGCGTGTGGTGTTTTTTTTTTTTGTCAACTCTGCAGTGAAAATGTTCTTAAAATGAACAACATACTGCATCGTCATTCAAGACTGCTATAACATGAAATTTATGGCAGAATGCAGGTAAAACAGAGCAGGAGCCATGCAGTTCTCCCCCAAGGAGTTCAGTCACAAATTTAATTACCCCCCCCCCCTTTTTTTTTTTTTTTTTTTTTTTTTTTTTTTTTGAAACGAGCATCAGCAGCATGGAAGCATGTCCTCTGGAATGGTAGTCGAAGAGGCTTGTGTGTCATGTGCCGTCTTATTACCCAGTCACCCTGTTTTTGAGATCCCTTTATAACTCTTCAGAGTCTGCTTTGGACTTAACTATCTTGAGCAATTTTATATCATCTGCAAATTTTGCCACCTCATTGTTTATCCCTTTTTCAAGCTCATTTATGAATATGTTGAACAGCACTGGTTCTGGTACAGATCCCTGAGGGACACTGCTATTTACCACTCTCCATTCTGAAGATTGACCATTTATTCCTACCCTTTGTTTCCTGTCTTTGAACCAGTTCCTGAGCCATGAGAGGACATTCCTTCTTATCCCATTACTGCTTACTTTGCTTAAGAGTCTTTAGTGAAGAACCTTGTCAAAGGTTTTCTGAAAGTTCAAGTGTGCTATATCCACTGGATCACCCTTGTCTTCATGTTTAATCCCCTTAGAGAATTCTAATACATTGGTGAGGCCTGATTTCCCTTTAGAAAAGCCTTGTTGTCTCTTCTCCAACAAATAGTGTTCATCTGTGTGTCTAATAATTCTGTTCTTTACTATAGTTTCATCCAGTTTGCCTGGTATTTTAATGTAAGCTTACCAGCCTGTAATTACCAGGATCGCCTTTGGGGCAATTTTAAAAAATTGGTGTAACATTAGTTATCCTCTGGTTATCAGGTACAAAAGCAGATTTAAATGATAGGTTACATACCACAGTTAGGTCTTGTGCAATTTTATATTTGAGTTCCTTCAGAACTCTTGGGTTAATGCCATGTTGTTCTGGTGACTTATTACTGTTTAATTTCTTGATTTGTTCCAAAACCTCCTCTATTGATGCTTCACTCTGGGATACTTCCTCAGATTTGTCACCAAAAAAAGAATGGTTCGGGTGTGGGAATCTTTCTTTCATCCTTTGCAGTGAAAACTGATGCAAAAAATTTATTTAGCTTCTCCACAATTATCATATCTTCTTTGCATGCTCCTTTAGCACCTTGGTCGTTCAGTGGCCCCAGTAATTGTTTGACAGGCTTCCTGCTTCTGATGTACTTAAATGAAAAACTAACATTTTTTTGTCTTTGGTCAGTTGTTTTTCAATTTTTTTTTTTGGCATGCCTAATTATGCTTTATCTTTTGACTTGCTAGAGTTTATGCTCCTTTATATTTTCCTAAGTAGGATTTAACTTTCCTTTTTTAAAGGATGCCGTTTTGCCTCTAAACACTTACTTTACTTTGTTTAGTCATGATGGTACATTTTGGTCCTCTTACTATATTTTTTAATTTGGAGTATATATTTAATTTGAGCCTCTATTATAATGTTTTTAAAAGGTTTCTATGCATCTTACAGACATTTCAGTTTTTGTGTCTGTACCTTTTAACTAGCTTCCTTGGTTTTGTGTAGTTTTGTGCTACTGTGGTGGGCTTCTTTGGGCCCCACAAGGATATTAAATTGAATTATACTATGGTTGCTGTTAACAATCGGTTCAGCTATATTCACCTCTTGAATCAGATGCTCTGCTCCACTTAAGACTTAAGCATTCATTAGCATCATGTACCTTCGCTTAGGATTAAGTCATCAGTTAACATCATGCACCTCAGCCAAATAAAGAGACTACGACCTCTTATTTATATTCAGAGATCTAGTTTTATGTTTAATTTTCTTTGAATTTCTCTTACTTGTGCTAATTTTCTCAGGAAAAGGAAATAATTGTATATAATTATAATCATCATTCACCAAAGTATTTTAACCTGCTAATTTTCTGTTAGGGTAACAAATTTATGTAAATTGTTCACCACGAAAATTCAGTATTTATTTAGCTTTCAGAGTGGTCGCTGTGTTAGTGGTAGCCATATTATTTAGTTCTCCAGACATAGAAAAACAATATACACAACTAATGATGAATTGGGGCCTCTTGTATATACAAATCTCCTTGTAAACACATTTTTTTCTGCATAAACTGTTTAACTGGGCTTATTTTATATATTTGAAAAACTCTTCAACTAGTAAGAGAATAGGTTTCCTAAGTAGAAAGCTTAAATTTAAAAAGAAAAGGTTACATGCTTATATTTCAGATGTACCAGGGCCAAATATAATAAAAATATAAAACGATGGTATAGTCTTTAACAGCAGGATTTTGTTTTATGAGTGTGGAGAATATGGGCCATGGTTTATTACACAGCTTTATTTAAAAAAAAAAAAAATCTTTATCTTAGAAAACAACATTTTGCTACCAACCTGGAGATGCCTTCTGTGTCATATGCCCCAACAATCCCAAGGAGGTGCAAGAACTTCTTCATATCTTGGGACTTTCAGAAAGGAAAGAGTACGTTGTTTGCTTAAAGATTAAACAAGCCACTAAAAGGAAAGGTAATGTATAATGCACTATTAAGCAACAAATAATGCTTGTTTGCCTATTTAAATATAATGGAAGCTCATAGGTGTGAACATTTTGGCTTGAATTTTTCAACGGTTAGGACATTTGGTCATTTAATCTTATTGGCACTTAAAAAAAAAAAGTGCGGGGATGGGTTTGCAAAACACTGGCCATGATTTTACTAGGTATCTCTCTAACAATCAGGAGCCTGTCCTGGTGAAACAAACTATTTTACTAAGATTACGTTTGTAATTTTTAAATCTGTGTGCTCTTCTTCGAGTGTCCTTTGCATATTGGATATGTGCTGACTAGTGCCTTTGACCAGTGCAGCCTTCTACTAGTATTGCCTGTTAGAGCACTCCTCCTTGCCCCTTCCCTCAGCGTTCCAGCACATTCTGAGAATGGGGCTGTACAAGGTGGCATGCAGTGGTTGTTCCCTCAGTTCCTTCCAGCCACATGACCAGATGTGAGCATTCTTTGGATTCAAGATCCTTAGTAAGATATGTGCCTTACTTTTTAAATAGTTAGACATTTGTAAATAGTTAATGTTAGTATTAGTATTACTGTTACTTAGCTATGGTGGATCCAAAGATCAAGAAATATGGATTTAAAAGATGTGCATCTTATCACACAGTTTTTCCGGCATCAGATGCCCATGCTCCGTGCCTAAAATGCTTAGGAAAAGGGCATTCTCCTATTCCTTGTACTATCTGTTGGTCTTTCACATCATGAACTAGAAGGAAGAGGCAGAACAGGCTCCAGGCCTTCTTTCTGCTAGAAGTCTTATGAGTTAAAATCTCCAGTTCTGACATTTCTAAGACTTTTTTTTCTAAATTTCTAAGGAACATGAAAATAAGAGGCCGGCTCCAGGCTCAGATCCTACTCCTCAGGGAATTCTGCACAGAATTTCATTTCTCCCTCCCCTGCCCTATAATTGGCACTGCAGAGCTGCTGGCCACCACTGGGAGTCACTGAACATGGGAGAGCCCAACTCCCCATCTCGCAGTGCGTCTGCACTGGAGATGTGGGCAGGTTGTGGTTCCCAGGTTTGCCAGCCTTCCTCGGTCACGTAGTGCAGCCAGGCCCCTTCCCTGTGTGGCAGCTGCCAGAGCCAGCGAGCTGCACCCCATGGGGAGCTCCGTGGAGGGCCTGCTGCTTTCTGGGAGGTGAGACACATGACTCGAGTTGTTCCGGGGGCGGCTAAACCTTTAAATTGTGCCCCATCACTATCAGCAGGTATAGGTCGTCTCTGTACGACAGTAATGAAGCTGGACGGGTTGGAGCCTGTGACTGGGCTCTGAGGGGAGGAGTGTGGGTGTGTGGTCCCTTGGCTAGGCTCCCGGGTGGGGAGGGGGTGGGAAGCTGGTGTGCGGGTGTTTGGGTCAGGGGGGTTCCACGTAACTCCTTCCAGCACCCTTCAAATACCCCTTTCCAGTACACACACATCCCTCCAGAACCCTCCAAATGCCCCTTTCTAGTACGTACGTATGTACTAGCGAAAGGATAGGCAGATATTCTCCAGTTCAGTCTACAATTGCTGGTTTGGACCCATTGTCAGTACTGCCTTGTCTATCTCAAGACAATCTAGTCACTACAGATTCACCATGTTTCAGACTTAACTGCAGGAACCCCCTGGACACCTGGGTGTACCAAGACTTGTATAAATTCCTCCCTGACCCACAGACTCCACTTCTTTTTGGCCCAGACCTCCTGAGGGTTGTCCTTACTCCAGAGGAGGAGTCTATCGTTGTCCCAGGAGCTGTCTCACCTCCAACCATCTGGCAGGAGTGGCTTGGTACAACGGCACCACTGCTATTGATGGAGCAGTTCTTGGACTCTGATAAATGAAAGGAGATGTCCACAACAGTATATCCACAGAGCCAGTTGAGCCCTGATAGATAGTCAAGGAGGGGTTATGCTTACCATTCTGTTGGGTATGACCCCCTGGTCTTCCTGCCCCCCTCCCCTCCGCCCCGCGTCATTGGTACCAATTTGCTTGGGGTCCCCCACAACTCATTAATCCCTCTTTCTTGCCTTATTGGGGTCCATGGGATCATTATGGCAGGCATCCGGGCCACTCTTAAGAATTATACCACTCCTCTCCCTCTTGCCAGCTAGTTCTGTCAGTGTACAAGAAGGAGATGGAGGAACTGGATGCACAAGTACCAACAGTTCCGACGGTTGTGTCTTCATCTTCCTTGGATGAGGCAGTCACTCCTTTGCCTTCTCCACTGGATAACCACTGCTGGTACCAAGAGCTGTTAGAAAGAGTTGCCAGTGACGTACAGATCCCATTAGAGGAGGTCCAGGACCCTTAACACCAGCTCCTGGACATCTTGCAGCTGCAGGGACCAAGTAAGTTGGCCATGCCTTTCAATGAAGCCATACTATAACTGGCTAGAGTAGTATGCCATGCTCCAGCATCCTGGGCCTCTACCCGGAAAAGGGCTGAGAAACAGTATTTTGTTCCTGCGAAAGGGGCTGAATTCTTATTCTCTCATTCTGCCCCCCAGCTTGCTGGTGGTTCAGGTAGCTGTTTGAAAGGGCTCAGTCACACTCTAAAATGGCAGATAAAGGCTCTAAAGACTGGACCTCTTGTGGGGGAAGGTCTTCTCCAGAGGCCTGCAATTTCATGTCACTAACTTCCAAGTGGCGTTAGCGAAATACAATTTTAATACTTATTCCAGGCTTGCAAACTTCAGCGATAAGCTTCTCACAGAAGGCAGGACTCAATTTCTGTCTGTTTTAGATGAGGGGAAGCTAGTGGCACAAGTAGCCCTCCAGGCTTCAGTCGATGCAGTGGACACAGCTTCCAGAAGTTTGGCTGCTAGTCTAGTCATGAGGAGGGATTCCTGGCTGCAATTGTTAGGGTTTCAGAGGGAGGTCCAGAACACCACCCAGGGCCTCCCTTTTGATTAGCTGAATCTCTTCAAAGAGAAAATGGATGAGTCCCTGCACTCACTAAAAGATTTTAGATTGACTCTGCATTCCCTGGGGATTTATACTCCAGCCCCCAGGAGGAAACACCCAAGGCAATCCTATAGCCTGAGGTCACTCCCTCCTTATGCACCTCATTACCAATGCACAGCTGAGTCTCTGTGGCTATGCTAAAAGATTCAGAAGCCTCGCTTCTTGGCCCCCTCTACTGCCACAGCCTCTACTCACTCTCAGCCACCAGATAAGAGCCACTTTAGACATATTGGTAGAGACTTGCGTACCTCACTGATGCCAAGCACCCTTCCCCTATCACCTATGGGGGCCATCTTACACCCTTTGCCCACAACTGGAACAAGATCACTATGGGTTCTGGAGATTATCCACCAGGGATACTCCGTAGAGTTTCTGTCCTTCCCTCCTCACAAACCCACTTGCTGGTCCCCCCACTTGGTGCTGTGGCGTGTTATTTGTGTTGCAGCACTGTTAGTGCTGCTGGTGTTGCTGTTCTTGGAGCTCTGATGCACTGTCTACTAGTGCAGCTCACACCATGTTAATTCAGCAGACTTCGATGTAATTCATCAGAAAGGCCATAGGCTTGGTTCAATGGCAAAGGTGCTCAGCCAGGATTATTGTTGACAAAGCATGGTATTAACGTCCCATAAGATCTACAGGTACACTAACGTGTATGCCCATGACAATGGTACCAGCTCAGTCAGGACACTAGGATCCTGTCCCTTAGGCTAGGACAAAGCTGCTCCTATGACTTCTCCTTTTGTTATGTTGATACAAACAAGTATTACGCTCCAGACACGGTTAGTTATCACCCTTATCTTTATACCCAGCTAATTCAAACAAAACCATTCTCTCCAGTCAGGAATGTGCTTACTTGGTGTTAGCTAGTACCTGTGTGATGGTGTTTTGCCAAGGCCAGGCCTACTCTGGTTCACAGCCTTTGGTTCATGCTTTTAGTTATGCCTAGTGCTCCAGCAAGGCCTACACGAGATAATTGTTCAGTGGAAGGATAATCTCTTTTACACCGTGGGGCAATAGAATGTGTTTTGTCTCATTACTATGGGAGAGGGTGGTTCTCCCTGTTGTTTCCTAATTCTCCTCCCCCCCCTCCTCCCAAAAAAAAAAAAAAAAAAAAGTAGGGAGGGTGGACACCCATCCTGGACCTTTGGCAACTCAACATTTTTATTCCAAAGCTGGAGTTTCAGATGATTATGGTGGCATCTAAAATCCCCTCCCTTCATGAAAATATGTGGTTCACAGCTTTTGATATGAAGGACACATTTCCATGTGGACATTCACCCATCACACAGGAAGTTCCTGCGTTTTATGGTAAGCCAGGAACACTTCCCGATTCAAATCCTCCCCTTTGGGCTGGCTATGGAGCCCAGAGTATTTACAAAGGTTTTCTCTGGGGTAGCCATTCAGATGAAATGCCAGGGTATTCCCATATCTGGACGACTGGCTCCTGAAAGACCGATCTCGTCAGGAGGTCAGGTTGGCAACAGGGTTTCTATTACAACTTTTAGCAGCCCTAGGCCTTTGCATAAACAAAGAAAAGTCTGTTTTGTTACCCACAAGGTCAATAAACTTTATAGGGGGAAGGTTGACTCTATTTCTGCAAGAGCATTCTTCCCCTCAAAAGGGCTTCATACTATGAACAACCTGATTTCACACATCACCCACAGACCACAAATCACAGTGCATAAGTGCTGCTCTCTGTTAGGCCATATGGCTGCATGACTCCTTTTGCCAGACTCCACTTGTAATGCTTGCAGGCTTAGCTCCACTGGATCTATCAACCAAATAATGACCACATCAACTCCAGGATAGTCATTCCCACCCATTATCACCTCCTTAATGTGGTGGTTCAACCCGGAAAAGGTCATGGTGGGAGTTCCCTTCTGAACTCTCACACCTATGGCCACCATTTTGACAGTTCTCCCTTTGAGGGTGAGGTTCTCAGCTGGACAATCACACTGCTCAGGGCACCTGGACCCCATGAGAGACCAGCAGAACTGAGAGTGGTCCACTTCGCATGCAAGGC